CTCTCTCTCTCTCTCTCTCTCTCTCTCTCTCTCTTTCTTTCTTTTTTTTAACACAGAGCTCCTAGAATCAGAACTCGTGGCGTGCACCGCTTCTCGTTGTTGCTTTTCAAAAAAGTTTATAACTGACACACGGTGTCCCATCAGTGTTAGGTGTACCACATGGTGACTCGACGTTTATGTGTGTTACAAAGCCATTGCCACAAGTCTGATCCAGGAGCGTGGTGTTTTCCGCCGGCCATGGGGGGCCACACGCAAAACCTCAGACCCTCTCCTGTTCTTGACGAGGCTATGAGTCTACCATGAAGTTTGATCCGACATAGTATAGTGGATTTTAAACCACCATAAATTATGCACATGCGAAACCTGGGTATCAAGCACCTTTGATTTAAAAGAGAAACTTAAGAGGAAGTAAATTTTTAATTTTGACTTAAAGTTTTTTTTTTGTTTTTGATATAAGTCTGTCGTGGAGCTGCAGCAGTGGCCCACAAGCCCGAGGGATCTGCGGGACCCTGAGCGTTAGGGAATGGAAGTCCTCAAACAGTCTCCAGCATTCCTACCTTTTCCAGAAGGGGAGGGGCTGTCTGGCTCTGGGGTCACCCTGGCCGGTGCGACCGTGGAGGGTGGCCTTTGGGGAGTCAGGGAGCGGTCTCCTAGAGAGAGGACAACCACAGGGCATTTATGATCCTGAGCGTGGAACCTGGGGTGGCTTCAGAATTGGATGTTTGTTAAGTAAGAACATAAATACACGAATTTAGAGCAGACGCATCTGGCTTCCTAGGGTGGGTCAGAAGCACGAGAAATAAGCAGCGTCTCTGAGCCCGTGGCTCCCACGCGAGGGGGGGGTTGGGGTGGGGGGCTGCATGGCAGGAGAGGAACCCTGTGTCTTTGATCAATGGTGTGACCGTGTCGCTTTTTCTCCACAGGGAGGCGCTGTCTCCGTCTTCCAGGGCTCTATAAGCATCCTTGAAAAGGCAGTCCAGAGACAGGGCCCTGAGTCCTCTGCAACAAGTAGAAGGCTTCCCCCTGGCCCTGCCTCTGATGTTCACGTGACAGTCACATGGGGAGGGAGAAGCACTGACCTAAACACTACAGATGCCATGGGAAAGTCTGGTTATCCAAGGCATCCCACAGCGGAGTCATCTTGCTGTAGAACAACCCCTTCTCGTCTGACTCCCCATAGAGAAGTTGGGAATTTTCACAAATGTCATCTCAGAAAGTGTCTAGCTCACTGCTGGCATGCACCAAGCGTGTGATAAATGTGAAACAGGAATTCTCTTGGAAGGCCATGGGTTAATCTTTATTTTTCCAGAGTAAGGGGCTTAGTATTCCTGGAAATGGCACTATTGGCTTCCAACCCCAGATTGTCCAGCTCCTTCTGGCATGGCTATTCAGTTGTAGATCGTTTTTTTTTTTTTAAGTTGACTTTAGCAACTTTCCCTTACACTTGCTCTGGAGACATCCCCGCTCCGGGTACCTCCCCAGGCTCGTGGGGTGAGTACCAGCGGAGAAGAATGTTATTTATGTATTCTTTCCCTGTGCCTGTCTCCTCGGGAGAAATCGGCAAGGTTTTCTGGGAAGCAAGCATGCTTGCGCACACATTCTTGTCTGTAGCCAAACTCTTGCTACGATAATATTAACACACTGGTGTTAATAATAGTTAATAGTTACCAGCTTTCACTTGATTTTCCTACAAGCCACAATGTTGCCATCAAGCCCATTTTCTAGATGAGGAACCAAGAGCTCTGAGGTGCTCAGGTCCTTGCCTGAAATCTCACAGACGCTAAGTGGCAGAGTCAGGATTTGGACCCCAAAGTCCATGTCTTTCCATCTCTAGGAGGTGTTGTTTAGAGGTTCATCGGCTTATTTGGGCTCAGACCTCAACACAAATCTCTCGGCCTCTGATGGCCTCTTCCCACTGTGCAGCCTTGGCGAGGGTGGGGCGGCGGGGAAGGGCGGGGTGTGGGGAATGGTGCCGGGACGGCTACTTACTGACACACTTGAGACTGGGGATCGTCCACTCGGTCACGTTTGTGTCCTCATTACGCAGGCACTTAGTCAGGCTGGACGTACCAGCCTTACGCTTGAAACCAGAGTTGCAGATATACCGTTCCCTGGAGTTCTCGTTGTAACTCTTGACCCGGATGTTTGCGTGTTCGATGGACGTGGGAGTCGAGCACGTGGTGCCTGCAAAAATGCAGATACGAGGGGAGAGGTGAACAGATTTCGGTGCGTTCAGGAGCCTTCCAGGAGCCTTGCCTCATGTGCTAGGCATCCAGCAGAGCTGGGGACCGAGGCGTGATCAGTGCAAATCTCTGCCTCGCCCTCTGCTTGCCATCATCTTGGCTCAGTCTCTCTCAGAGGTATCCAACCATCTCTCTCGCTCTCCTCCATCCCACCCTCATGGAGCCTCTGAGCTTCTTGCCCAAACCACAGCAATAGCCTCCAGGCAGCCAGCCTCAGCCTCAGAAACGCCCAGGAGATGGCTTCAGTCTCGACAGACTTTCTGCTGCTCTTAGAATAAAAAGTAAAATCCTTAAGGAGTCTTCAAGGTTCTGCCAGGCCTGGCCACTCGGGCCCTTGGTCCCCCCTTGCCGCTCACCAGGCCTACCTGCTGCCCTCCGCTGACCCCACTCCTGGCCGGCCAACTCTCGCCATCCTTCCCAGCTTACTTCGACATCAATTCCTCGGAAAAAGCCTGCCCTCACCCCCCCAGTCAGCCAGGACCCATATTTCTGTGTTCTTTCCTTGTTCGGTCATTTTCACGGCTGTAATTAAGATGTCGAGGTGATGTAGTGAACAGATGTCTCACCATCTGTACTGTAAGCCGTAGAGGGTAAGAGTCAAGTCACATTATATTCCGTGACCCCAGTACAGTACCTGGCAAGAGCAGCTGCTCAAGCAATACTCGTTCAAAGAATGAATAGATGAACCCTCTTCCCCCGACACCAGGCTCGAGTCTGACCTACTATGAGCGAGTTCGACTTATTTAATTTCTACAGGGAAACTGGCTTATCTAATTTTTCTCACTTTTTTGGAAGGAGCCAGAGGCAAGGTGAATTTTCCCAGATGGCTCTACTATCATGATAGCTGGAATTAAACTCAGACTCCAGAACTTCAGCTAAAAATCCTGGCAGTGGGGCTCTGGCTCTGTTGGGTAGAAATGAGGAGTTTCGCAAATTAGCATCTAAGGGTATTAGCCTAAGAAGAAAAGGAGGCCGAAGTGTGGGCCATTTGCATTTTGAGGACTCCATATTGGTTACTGTCTTTTTGTTGTTAATTATTTATCACAGCCTGTTGATATTTTTGCATCCTTGGAAAAATGTGTTTCTTAAATAAAAGTAGGTAGTACAAATGTTAAAGACAACTTGACTTGAATGAGTCGTAGGAGCCCTTGCGACTTCTTTCCTACTTTATGTAACAATGACAAAACTGGCAAAGAAGAAAAATTAATTTTTTTCCCCCACTAGGCAAAATTTAGTGAAATTGGTGTGATTTATCATGTACCTAATGTAAAAAGCGGTGAGCACGAGGAAAGAATCCGTTCATAAGGCCTTGATGACAGGTAAACTATATCCTCCTTGGCACCAAGTTTGTAGATTGGGGTTCTATAAAGAAACCCCCAAAGGGCCCTCAGTTCTTAAAAGGTGAGGACCCGGCCCACGTATCGGCGTGATTATGTCACATTTATTTTTCAATTACAGCTGACATACAATATTATATCAGTTTCTGGCGCACAATAGTGATTAGACATTTCTGTGACTTAGGAAGTCATCGCCCCGATAAGTCTAATCCCCATCTGACGCCACAACTGCATGGTTTGTATCCTTTTTCCTATTAATTCGATACATGCTTAGGCTTTCTTGCATGCAGAGGCGGTGAGCAAGAGCCAGCTTCTGAGCCGAGCCTGGCCTGCTGCGGTGGAGGTGGCTTAGAGCGTTGGCAGGAAAGTCCCACAGAGGGAAATTCTGCCGCAGCGTTTCCCACCGTCCCAGAGCTTGTAAGGACGTGTTGAAGAAGCATTGCCCTCGGCATCGCTAACGTGTATGTGCCGGGTGGTTCCCTGGCTGAGGCGCCGGCCAAGGGCAGCGACCACGCTTACCAAGGGAGCGGTAGAGCATAAACGCCGGTGGCTGCCTACAGCCGCCTGGGGAGCTGCCATTTTGGTTTCAGGTCTGGAAGCCCCAGGAGGCCTCTGCTGAGCAGCTGGGACATGAGCAGGCGAGAAGGTCGGGACTCAGCCGAGAGAACCAAGTGAAGCACTCTTTCTGCCAAGGAGGGCAAACTAAGGGGGAGACCGATATGGTGCAGTCAGATTCTCAAAGCAGAGGAGGAGGGCCCGCCCCCCTAAATTGTGACTGTGCCAGGGGTCAGCAAACTATGGCCCCTGGGCCACATTCAGCCCACCCCCCACTTTTGTCAATAAAGTTTTATTGGAAAACAGCTTTATTCATTTATGTATTATTGATAGCTGCTTTACTTTACAGCTGCAGAGCTGAGTCGTTGCAGCAGACACCAGATGGCCCACAAAGTCTAAATCACTTATTCTCTGGCTCTTCATAGGAAAAGCTTGCCAGCCCCTGGTCTATGTGGCCATTAAACAAGTCATCGCCCCTGTTACTGAGACCGGTTGCCCAGGGGGTCGGCACAGGGCTGGTGCAGCCCTCAAGGTAATCGAGGCTGGCGAAGGTTGTACAGCCCAGGCGGAAATAAACACCTTTCTACACATGCTGATCAATGGAACAGAAGAGCCCAGAAGTAAAGCCATAGCCGGACGCTCACGTAATATATGACAAAGGAGGCAAGAATATGCAATGGGGTAAAGGCAGTCTCTTCAATAAACGGCGTTGGGAAAATTGGACAGATACACGCAGAAAGAAAAGAAATTGGACCGCCTTCTCACACCATATACGAGAACAGACTCAACGTGGATTAAAGACTCCAATGTCAGACCTGAAACCATAAAACTTCTGGAAGAAAACATAGGCGGTAATCTCTCTGATATTGCTACTAATAATTTATATGTCTATGTCTCCTCGGGCAAGGGAAACAACAACAAAAAATTAACAAATGGGACTACATCAAACTAAAACGTTTTCCCACAGCAAAGGAAGCCACCAACAAAACGAAAGACAACTGACTGGGAGAAGATATTCGCTTATGATACATCTGATAAGGGATTAGTATCGAAAATATATAAAGAACTCATACAACTCAACAACAACAAAACAATCCAATTAAAAAATGAGCAGAAGACCTGAACAGATACTTCTCCAAAGAGGAAATACAGATAGATGGCCAATAGACCTATGAAAAGATGTTCAAGGTCACTAATCACCAGAGAAATGCAAATTAAAACTACAATGAGATATCACCTCACACTGTCAGAATGGCCATCATCAATAAATCAAATCAAGTGTCGGTGGGATGTGGAGAAAAGGGAACTCTCATACATTGTTAGTGGGATTGCAAATTGGTACAGCCACTATGGAAAACTGTATGGAGGTTC